ATGGCTCCTACAAGCCACCGTACGCACCACAACATTTACTATCTTCGTTACAGGTTTTTGTATATGACTTAAACAAAGGTGATAAAACGTTTCAGCCTTTCTACCGGGAAATATTTTAACTACGTCTTTATCGATACACAAAAATAAATCGACAAATTACTCTAGCCTCTTCTTCTCTTAGCATTTAAAATGTCGGCTTTTCAGTGTTTGAATGGAGCACTCATACTTTGGTTAAACGGGGGCATTTAAGTTTCACCCGTTCTGTCTCTCCATTTAAATTCTCTTGGTCACGGAACCTGTAACAGGAACTTTCGTCATTTTCAAGTAACGAAATGATAGCTTTATTTCTCGTTACAATATCTTCACTCCTTTCAAGCCTTTCCACTTCTGTGACAAATTATGGCAAACGACTCTAGACAAAAAACCGCATGACGCTATTTATTTCTTTATTCAACACAAGTCTGGAATATCTTTAACTCGTATATAGCTTCAGGCATAAAATTGTTTTGATGTTTTTTAGCAATTAGTCTTATTGCTTTTTTAGTTTTTAATATTGATAAGAAGCAATGCCTAATTAACGTCATCAGACATAACATTTAAATGGAATATCTCGTCTAACAAGAGACTCCTCTTGTTATAATATGTTACTATCATATACTCATGTTTTGTTATTTCTCCTCATTATAAAAAATAAATCAATACGTTGTGTGAAAGAGCATCAAAGTAATGAAACATCTGTAATGAGTTTGCTTACAAACCATGAAAACATTTTCCGAACAATCGAAAGCTCAGTCCTTAAAGTGCCCCTGAGATCAAAATTTTCGTACATCATTTTTTTTCCCTTTTCGTGTTCAGTGTGTCTTCTTCACCTACTCTGCCAAATTTCAGTTTAGACCGAGCACCAGAAATATCTTTTATCGGGCCGTTAAATCCACGATTTCGCGTCCGCCATTATTTGATCATGTTCCGGAAGTTGATCGCAGGACTCAGAGGAAGTGACGTCAAAGGCTCAACGCGAAAATCTCACATGGCAAAATGTCAAGCAAACATAACAGAGTGCTTTACTCTATTCTTACAAAAACTAAACAAAAATGACTGGGCATCAATGCGTAATTCAATGCTGAAGTAACCGTGCAGACCATGCTGCAGGTATTTCTCTCAATCGGAGCCTTGCAAATAGATCAGAGCGGGAAAAACCATGCGATTTGTGCGACCTCGCCGAGTAAACTTGAATCCTACAGAAATATTTGTGATCTACTCCGAACACTTCTCGGAGGACTGTTTCGAGAGATCTGTGTACTTTGAACAGAGTTAATTGATTCTGCTTTGAAGGATCTAGGCGAAGAATTCTGTCGGGTTCAGTGCCTACTGTTCAAGAAGAGAAGGGACGAGAAAAACCGTCCTCAGTACGATCTCGACGCCGGAAAGCGAAGTCTACGAACCTCCACGGATTTTGTCACCTTTACGTATGAGCTGATCAATATCCACCTATAACAAACTCTCTGGCAGAATACCTTACACAAAGGAAAGTACACGGCGAACATTGTAAATAAGAATGATAAAATAGCCGAGTTGAGGATTGAGATTTCTGACCTCAAAGAGCTCACTTTTATTCAAAAGAGATGAAAAATATAGTTGTGTGCTCTGACTCTAAACAAAGCTGGCTTTAATATCAGCGAAAGCAGAACAAACAGCTTAAGACACAGAGCGTAAAAACACTTTAAAATGTAGGCTTGCAGCCAAAATCCGAGAAAATGAAAATTTCTTTAAAAACCTGTCAAACTATCAACCATCTGACAGCCAAGTCAGCGTGCTATCAAAGGGTCTCAAATTCATCCCAACGCCCGTGACAAACAAATTTAAAATCAGGCCAACTTTTGCGAGATTTATTCGCAAGACGAATGCGCCTCCGTTACACCTTTCACGGACAAAACAAAGAACCACTTCTGTTTCATATCAAACTGAATGCCACCGGTTCAGTCTTCTATCGCCCTTCAGAGCTACTTGGAAAATTGTCATTAACGCTACTTGCAGACTGCATCTAAGCCAAAAAATACTTTGTAACGCAATGAGGTCACGGCTCTAAAAGAGTTGAAACAAACTCTGCTTTAAACCTCACCGAAGCAACACAACAATAGTCATCATGAATAAGACAGAAAAAACAAAAGAGGCCAAAGTGCAACTCAACAACAGAGTTCACTTCAAACCTCTCAAAGCACCGATAGTAAAAAACACGTAGGAAAGGGTTAATGAGATCATTGACCAAATGCATCGGGGAAAACACATTGATGGCTTAGAAATGGCTTTCACAAACTCCCAATATCCGCCTTCGGATACACAATTAGCCATTGCCGAAAACTATTTTTACTAATCACCCGATCATTTCTTACAAAAAAGGAAAATCCCTTACGACAAGCAAAAATACAGTTCGAAGGCGATAAAGCGATGCGACCACAAAAGCCACATGGGGAGTCCGTGCCGTTCTGTGTTTATCTTTATTCGCATGGCAAAAATTCATCGTTTGTCGGCGCAAAACTATCCACAGAAGCTTCAGATGATTTCTGGGACAATTCATCGTCTGAAAAAGTCGACATTTCCCGACTGACAACGAAGCAGTTCTCAAAAAAGTAATATGTGTGATTCTCTGTGCAGGGAACAAAGCATGATAAGTTTGATGAGCCTTTGACGTCATAATTATGTTTTTGCGGGCTCGGCTGGAAAAGTTTTCAGCAATGGCGGACGATTTTTGGACGACTTTGAAGCGGTAAAAATTGGTCATCGAAGGTTTTTTTTGAGTTTTTAATGGCAAAAAGGGTCTTAACTCGACCCAATTCAACATTGTGTAAAAAATTTAGGCCAAAATAAAATGGTAAATTTTCGTCTCAGGGGCACTTTAACAAAAATGTCAGTTATTGTGTCGGAGATAATGAGTCAGGGTCACGTTTTGGCCTGCACTATCTACAAAGCAACTAGATTGCTTCCAGCCGTGTCGAATTAGACCAGGGTTGTAAACATTTGAGACGGATCGACATTCCAAGGTAAAACAAAAATCACCACTATTATCATGAGGAATCTAATACTACGTAACGTCTTTCTAGTTGATTAGATCAGGCAATTTTGACGTGGTACTATATTAAATAATCAGACAAGGACCCAAATGATTTTATCTAAAGTTTAATAAAGTACTAACTTCAAAGCTCTGAAAAGAGCATGTAGTTAGGATGGTTTGGTCAACAAAACTATGGCAAATATATTGACACAAAAGGGCCTAAATTCATTGTGTTTATTCTTCCGCCTCATGCATCCCAAATACTGAGCTATCTCTTGCCTTTCCTTGATTTTAACATGAGAAATCTGAAAGTAAGCCCTGAAATTCAGTTTTTGACGTTTCACATATGGTTGGCGCACGCAAACTTGCAGACCTAGCCCTGAGAAACGTTTGATATTTCAGGGTAATTTGGTGATATCAACTAAGTTGAAATTGTAAATTGGCCACAGTAACGAGTTAAAAAGCTGACGTTTCGAGCGTTAGCCCTTCGACATTCGCTCTGACGAAAGGCTAACGCTAGAAACGTCAGCTTTTTAACTCCTTACGGTGGCCAATTTACAATTTCAACTTAGTTGATATTACCAAATTACCATGTTACCCCCACCGACGCAGCACTACGGTTTGTTTAGAAACTTTCACCCTTTATTCACTTGATATTTCACCCTTACTTGGCGTTGACGTAGCAAGAACTATTGTCAACTAATTAGGCTGCTTTCTAGGTTTGCTTGTGGTTTAAAGTCTGGCTTCAAGTATAAGCCCGGTTTAACGGGAAGATCACGTCAACTTCCGGATGACTTGTTTATTGCCGAGATAAAATTCAGTTGAACGCTTCCTCAAACTAAAATAAAAGCCGTGTCGTTGGGAACTCAGTCTAGGAATAGTGATGTTTCGATAAATATTGATGGGGCTGTATCTAGAGACGGACTGATCCATGAAAACAAAAAATAAAGAGTTTTGGTCAAAAACGTTGAAACTCGAAAAATCTCTCAAATCGACAAAATGAAGATTCTCAAAAATAATTCTTTCATTTGCGTAAAGCACTTAAAATGCCATAAATCGGCCTTTCCGATTGCGTGATATTTTAAATATTGGACCGCTATCAATTCAAAGATCTAGAAGCTGCAGGAAAACGGAATTTGTTGAATAGGCTAATTAAACAGAGGTAAAAATAAAACACGACCTGTCGTTTGTTCATTGCCGAAGGCTTATTATTTTGGCTATGGTAGTTTTCATGAATATGAGACTTTCCACTGTTAGAGTTGAAAAACGAACCCTAAAACGTGATTTACTTGGCAGTCAGTACCTTTTGCTTTGATTTTAACACTCATTTTATATCCCTTGGCACTTTGCAACACTCTCACAATACTTCATATATTGCGCAACTAATTTATTTCTGTAGGGTGCTTTGCGTAAGTCTGATAATAATACTACTTCGTTGACGCAAATGGTTGGTCAGTCTTTTTTTAACAAGTTTGCTGGGTAATTTATTCGGTTGCTTAAATCTCTTGGTTTTTCTCATATAAGAATGTTGAAACCCTTTCAGATAACTATTCCATAGCGGTAACTTATCACAGTAGATGAAGGTAAACAGTTTTCATCATTTTCCCGGCTAAGTTGGCGCGTGAACTGGAGCGTTCTATTTGCGGTCATACTGACTCTCGCCTGCAATCTTCACGAAAAAGATTACTTCCTTAAGAAATGACAGATGTCCATATAAAGTCTATTACAAGTCAATACGGGAAACTTTCAATCAATATGTGCATTGTCATAGCTTTTTCAAGTTTCATACACGACACAGATTTCAATTCTCTCATTTAGTTTAGCTCAGCCCCCAGGCTCATTCATGCAGCACTCGGTTAATGCACAAATAACTTGATGCGATTTTCGTCCACGTCAGATTTAATTAGTCCTGTTGGAAAATCAAGTGGAGTCCAATATTTTCACTAAATGTTAACATTGTTACCTAGGATAGTTCTACCTACATAACTGTATTTTACACAAACAAGAAACAACTTTGATCCCGCATTGAAGTTTCCAGAAATTTGCTACACTCATTTTTCTTAGAGAACTATCAAACCGCAAATTATATTTTGAACCAACCAAAATGACATAACTAAGCGCCAACTTAAATCACTTTCTTCTCAGAAAGGAGATAAAAACAATTGAAAGCCAAATCATCTTCTTCTCTTCTCAGTCTATGCCAAATATAGAGGCACCCTGTCGCTTCCTTCAGAACTTCTGCGAGCTGGTTGAAGTTTTATTCTAAGAATAAAACTATTTGCGAAGTAGGAACAAATAGTAAGAATTATTAGATTGCGTGTGTTTTTCTTCTTTTTCAGTTTTCTTTTCATTCCAAACGATATTGGAATGCATTGCCTATTAATTTTGTTTCACTGAAAGATTTCAGCCTCAGCATTGGAGGAAAAATTAATGCTTTAAAAAAACTATATGACGTAATTAGTTTGTCTGTTTTTAATGGTAATTTCCTTTTATAAGAAAATAATCTGTCAGGGTAATGAATTTCCCGGCTTTGTTCAATCTGAAATAATAATTAGCAAACGGCTCAAAAGCAATGCACTCTCTCACGTCAAAGGCAGTTAAATTTGAGGAAGCAATAGGTGATGAACCCGCAGACTTTGTAGCTTCATTGTACCACAAGCCCCTATTGAGTTCCACTATGCCTTCTACATTGATGACGACGTATTTGATCGTACTTTTTTCCACTGGTGAGTACACCTTACCATCAAATGTATTCTCCTTTTTACACAATGGTGGATACTTTTTTTCCCCCAAATTTCCTCTGCTTTTAATTTCTGTGGTTATGCTGGTTATGCTGTCTCAGTAACCTGCGTGTTCTTGTCCCAACGGGAAGGTAGCAAAGCCTAAGGCGGAGTGACAGAATATTTACGAACACCAAGCTTTGCCCAATGTGTGATCCAAAAAGGGTTTAATTCAAAAAATAATTATAGGCTCTCGCTATTACGTTTTCTTCATTTGAATTCCAACCATCCCGATAACGAAAAAAAGATCATGCAAGTACTGCGTGTTAAAGTAGTTCAAAAACTGTTGCAGAAAGTTCTGCCCTTTTTATCGCTCCATTTTAAATCGACAACTGACTCAATGAGCTAGTTACTAACAATCAATGAGAGATGTGAGAGATTTATTTGAGGTTCACGACAATAAATGTGCACTACAGTTAAAGCAGTGTTTTCAAAACTGGTTACACCATAAAATAGAAGGTTTTAGCGATTGTTTGCCGTAGCTATATATATTACGACATAGAGCGTTTAAATCAAACTTCTTTTGGACTCAATATAGCACAAGTTTTAACAAGAGATGTGGATCACCTTGCGGATGAATATTTCAATAATTTTGTCGTTACTTAATGCTTTAAAAAATACTTACATCCAGTCAATCATTCTGCAAAGTCTTAGACGACATGAGGTTAAACTTTGGTAAAACTGGGATCTGTTCCCAAACAAATCTGGCTTTGATTTATTCCATACGATCATTTTGTATTCCACGTCAGCCTAAAAGTTCCTGCTATAAAGAAATTGATCTAACATATGCAAATATGCACCTTATAATTAAGGTTACGTTTGTTTGATCTGTACCTTAAAAGCGAAATTTACCCACTGTTCTAGAACGGATATGATGACTTCGCAGACTTACAGACAAAAGGAAGCACTTGAAACCCTTATGAAACAAGCAAACAAATCATTTCGTTCGCATATACATTTCGTTTTTTATATCGTGATATATCTAGTCAGAGGATTTAGGAATTAGTGTTAATGCCTTGTGATTGAGCATCTTTTGCAAAGGACGTAAATGTAGGCTTTCACGCCCTTTGTCACGGTAGAGGAATTTCTTTCGCTTAAGACCGGAGAAGAAAACGACCGGAAACGTTTGCAATTAAGGAGCTTCACTGTTTTTTTCTCTTATTTGAATATAATATAAGTGCTCGAGATGTTTCCACCATTCTCTGATCGTTTACAACACTCCTTTGGATCGACCAAACTTTATCATGTTTATGAGAGTTCTATGGCTGGACTACGTCTTCCTGCCACAGGAAAAATATCAAGATGGAATCTGTCAAGGCGAATAAATTGTGTTTGTTCGGTATTTTAGAATGGTTCCCATTTAATGACTCCTTGAGGTCGAGTTCTAATAGACTAATCAATGGTGCGATTGGTCATAATCTAACCTGATACACGTTCTCTAAATTACTTTATGTCTTGTAACTGGCAGACTAAGCATAATTATTGGTGGTCATAAATACTGCTTCTCATCCTTCCTCGTCTATTTGGGGCTCATTTATCTATTTATTAACTTATTAATTCATATCCATTAACCATTTAGTTATATATGTCTATCTATTAGCTACATAACCATTATCATTTACATTTCTCTTGCTAAACGGACAAGATCAGACACGACACTATTATCTGATCTGTCACAAAATTGAAATTCTTTTGTGTAAAGGCTTTAAGAAGCTCAAGACCCCCACTGAGGAACACTCATTATTCAAAATAGAGAAACAATAACGACAACAACGATTTGTCCCCACGAACCGACAACGATAACTCACTACCCCCTACTGATGATCACGCACCACAAAGCCAGTTTCTTCGTCGACAAACAACAAACTGCTCAGCATGATCAATCAGCATGTATGAATTTGGGTCTTTCAGTAAACGATACTTAAGACTAACAACATCTTTGTAAAGAGTATGCGCAGATGTATGAGTTTCTATTAAGGAAATGGACTAATAGTCAATAACACGCTTCTTCTTTTCCAACTGATTCGGGGAGAAAAAGGGGGCTTATTAATCCACTGGATGACGCAAACCGTATAAATGATCTCTGGTTTTATTCGATCTATTAAGGAAAACGTTACATAATATTAGATAGGGAAAACTACAGGGCAAACTACAACATAAACTGACGAACTACAGTGATTAATCGCATATCATCGACCACTTACTTCTGTGACGATATCCAGCAGATTATTCCTAATCACTCGTAAACACGGGGTGGCAGTTCAATTGGGCATTCGGTTGGCAAAATCATATGAAACGCCGGTCAGCGAGGGAACAATTTAGCACGGAACGATTCCTTCTAAAATGAACTTTTAACACGTTGCACGATCTTAAGAGGTTACTAATCCCAAGTGTATCATGAACTTAATGAAAAAGGAAATTAATTGTCAATCAATGGTCATAGATCTGACCATGTTTTTGAGTTAGAACTGAATTAGATTGATTTCGGCATGTTAAAAAACACAGAGGTACAATCCAGACGAAACCCGAGCATAACTGAAATACATTCAACACACAAAATGAAAACATTGTTGATTAGTGTACTAGTTAAAATACTATTTGCTTTACAGGATGTATCCTTCAGTCTGCAGTGGCCTCTGAACATCAGCTTAAAGCGGTTTTCAGTATGAGCGGAATAAAAGGTTACGTGATATTTTCGCCATCACAACATGAAGGCTCCACAAGTGTCACGGTTAACTTAACAGGCATTGACGAGACTCTAGCATGGCGCATTCATGAACTGCCTATGATCTACGACGGTAATGCGGCTATGAGCTGCAGTGGATCTGCAGTGGGAGCTGTTTTCGATCCTAGAATGGCCATGGAAGCCGGAGACTACAACAGTTCGTGCAGTTTACAAAGTCCAACAAGGTTTGGAGCATGCGCAATTGGAGACCTGACGGGATTACTTGGAAATCTTGACCCTAATTCAACACAGCAAAATTTCACAAACCTGAGTTTGATCATTCCAATAAAAGGTCCACACAACATCATGGGTAGGACACTTGTGTTATACAGCGGTGAAACACCCAAAGCATGCGCCCTCATAACTCTAAAAAGGCCCATGTTAACAGCTGTAGCTGCATTCAAGGCTCCTGTAGCGGGTGTTGTGTACTTTAGACAAGCAGATGTAAACTCGGACACCAATGTCTTTGTCAATCTTTTCTACGTCAATGACGCCACATCCGAAGAGGTATTTACTTGGAAAATTCAAGATTCATCTTCTTGTGGAAAGGTAAGCGCCACATTCAACCCTTATGGCACAGATAAGAGGAACTGCAGCCAGATCAACGACAAGTATTGTTCCATTGGCGATTTGACGTCCAAACATGGCAACATCACACTATCTATGGCGACGAAAAACCAATCCAAAACGAAGGCTGCCCTTACAGATTCCAACCTTCCCCTTAGTGGTGCTAAAGGTGTTATCGGTAAAGTAATTACCTTGTTCTCCAGCAATGACACGCTGAGGCCTTTCGCCTGCGCCAAAATCATGAAAGTGAAACCAAAGGTTGTCAGAGCTTCGTTCGATCCAAACATCCATGATGGTGTGGGAGGATACGTTAAGATTACCCAGCCGTCTCCTTTTGATCCTTCCATAACAGAAGTCAACCTTACTGGTCTAAGAAAAGAGTCCCAGGGATATCACGTGCACAACTATCCCAGTCCATGGCAGATGCAGTACACCGGTATGGAATCTTGTGCTGGAGGATACCTGGGTGGCCACTGGAATCCCTTTGGTATTAACACTAGTTCCAGTCCGCCTCCAGGAAGTGGTATGTTTTATTTCGACTCATTCTATACTTTACCATATTGTGTTCACGATACTAGATTCCCCAGCTATGTCTTAATAATAACTTTCGAATTTCAGTGTATTTCATTATTTACTCTATTGTTTGGTAACTGCCAAAATAGTGCTTCCTTAAGGTCCACAACGCTACTTCTATTTGTGTCAGTTTTGTTTATTTTTGTAATAGACAAAATCCTAACCAACCACAAAACACACTCATCAATTTCTTTTCTCCACAAACCTAACTCCTAGGCACCAATGATGAATACGAGATCGGAGACCTGAGTGGAAAATATGGATCGCTATTAAACTTGACAAGTTACAAAGGAGAGCACATTGACTACAATCTGCCATTATTTGGGAAAAACAGCATCCACGGCCGTTCTATTGTAATCCACAAAATGAAGACGATGGGAGGCTTGAGATGGGTGTGTGCAGATGTGCGCCAGGTGATGGAAGGGGACAACATGTTTGCAATGAAAACAAAGATAACTTTCACAGGACCTACTCTTAAGGGATACATTCTATTGGTAAGTCATTTCTTCAAGAAAATGATAAATATTTAAATCATTTTTTGCGGCTGTGCACTCTCTTTTTCAGTAAGAGAATACGACGGCACCAGTATCCTAGTATCTTCTACAATAAAACTGCATGCTATCCAGAAACCAGTTCACATGGAAAGAACAGCCAATCAGAAATTTCACAAACGGTTGTTTCATTAAATGCTGTGTCAGCCTATCCTTCTACAAATCTCGGTTTTTCCCCAATAATTAACAAGCACAACTTTCATTGCTTCCATTCAGATCCAATACAAGGAGAAAGACGACTCTATGATGCCAGAGGAAACCTCAATTTACGTTGATCTCAAATACGTTTCAAACTCCAGCCAAAAGGTATGTCTTGATACAAACAGATACTATTCGATTCAATTACTGATGAGTATCCACAATGCAAGCAACTTATTATTTTCCCTGATTTTCAAAAACAATGACTTGAAGGAATGTCAAATTGTTAACTCCAATATTGAAATGTTATCAAACCTCAGATTTGTCATTAACAATAGCATGGCTGATTGTTTCTTTTACTAATCAGAGCCTGAATCACAAGTGGCACGTCCATGTAAACCCTGAAGGGGGTGACACTTATGCACCCATGGGTGAAAGGTGTAAAAGTTTGGGAGGACATTACAACCCCTATGAAGTTGATTTGAAAGTAAGTTTATTTGTCAAAGACAGCTTTTCTAAACAGTAGCACCTCAGATCAGAAGTTCACTTAGTGGCTAAACAGTTCCCAAATCAGTACTCAAGGAATAGAGTTTTCCTCTTCTTTCCCATTTTCCAGGGAACTTACAAGTCATCATGCTTCTCTAGTAATATGCTGAGGTGTGAAGTCGGCGACCTTTCCGGCAAACATGCGATGCTAAACGTTGGAACAGGACAGAGTTTCTACACTGATCCTGACCTTCCCTTGTTTGGAGAAATGTCAGGTAAGAAAACCATACTTGTAACACTTTAAAAGAGACTTGGCTTTGAGTAATCAAGTCAGCATGAGTCAAACCTGGCAAAATTCTATCGATTTTAGTTTTTCTGTTTCAGAAACTGAACAAATTAAAGCGTGAGAACGCGAAACTGGTTTTCCCTTTAGAGTGCGTCTTCAACCTCTTTGCCTACTGTCCAAAAAACTGTATTCAAAGAGGAACGCCTCAAATAACAAAAACAAATCTCTTAACTAGTACGGTATATATTTCTTTCATAGTTATTGGTCGTGGAGTTGTGGTGCATGCAGAAAACGCTGGGGCTGCCCGCTTGGCTTGTGCTTCCATTACACCAGTTTCTTCGTTGTACATTGAGAAAACACTGAAGTATGTCAAGGGAGCCACATTTTCCAAGTAAGGCGAAAGTGTGCTTTGGGATTAAATGCCAAACATCCTCAGCTCAGTGATATAAAATCAAAGGTTTTTTTTTTCCCTTTCCATGTATTTTTTTGAATAACACATGATGAGTATACACAGTGAAATATGGCGCGCCTTTCCAGTCAATATTCAAACAACCTTAATATACAATACATCCATTACATTTCTTTGTCATATTTTTTATTTCCTTTCTGTATATTTTTTATTTTGCTTCTTTATTTTCCATTTTCCTTCTATATACTTGAAAATCTCTTCGTATCAATTCACATATACGTGTTTAGCTCATCTACTTTCTATTTTTTCTCTTCATTTTATATGCGTTCTATATTTTTGATATTTATTCCATATCTTTTTTTTCGTTCCGAGTGGGATTTTTTATATTCTTTCTAATTAGTATGCAAACGTCATCACATGACCGCTAGCACTATTTTTTTTCCATTCCGCCATTTTGGCTTTCGGCTACATGGAGGAAGAGCTATCGACTGCATGTCGTGCGGTCGCGGATGCTTTAGAGATTTTAAGTAATTTGAGACCTGGTTTTACGAGAAATGTAATACCTCGGATGAATTCAACGGCAGTCTCTGTGAGTCAGCCGAACAACGGGGATCGTAAGGTAAACAACGAGGAACTTCAGTAGAACGAACGTGCCATTCAGTCCTCGACGTCGCCAGACTCTAACAGTTCTATCCAAGCTCGGCTTGCCACTTTCTTTCCGACAATTGGTTCGAACCGAGCTAGTAGGAAAAGCACTAGTAGAAGACCAGCAAGGTCAAAGCAGACCATTAAGACGACCAAAGGCCGCCCATCCAAGACACTTGTTTTACAAGGATCTAGTCCTTATTCCCAGTCCCAAGATCAACAAAGTACCTACACACACAACCCGACTTCAGTTAGAAGAGAGAGAACTTGTCTGCCACAAGTTTCCCTTTGACAAGAGCTGGGACGCACATTCCTCAAAGCTGCTATATTGAATCGATTTCCAAAGCTTTTGCTATTTGAGTATGTCAAGGTGGGTAACTTTGTGTAATGATATAAGTAAGCTTAAGCATTGTTCTACGTTTAATGCATTAATGATAATATAATTGCTGTTCCGTTCGACATTTGGTGTGGCTGCACTATTTTTAAATACGCATCTATACTATTTTGCCAAAAATTTAACCACATAAGAGGATACCTGCAGTGACGGGAGTAATGGACTTTGAATTTTTTGCAGAATTTGTTGGGCTATTTTAGACTTGCTCTGGTACTGCCCCGCTCCCACCCCTTTCTCCTTACTTGTGACATAAGCTAACTTAACTACTCTTTCATTGAATTCACCCTTGACTTTTGCAAGAAGCGTGCAAGTAATGTGTGTTTTTCTTAACCTAGCCATGCTATGGAAAGCTAATAATTAACTCCTAAGCTGGCTGAAGGCATAACTCTGGATGCAGAAAGAGTGACCAGGATGGCTGGTCAAGGAGCTGTTTATGTTAGATCACCGGTCCCTTTGGAATCTGAAGATGAGGGTGAAACCGAAGAGGAGCTAGAGAATTCAGTATTAGATGACAGTCCAAGGTGAACTTTTTCTTCTGAATTTAAGCATTGAACAAAATAAAAGCTGTATAGATTTCTTCTAGCTTTTTGCCTTACTGCAAAGGTAGCTTCGCAATGCAGACGGATAACCTTATATATGATAGACTGGCTTCCCAGCTCATACAAGTGGGCATGACAATGGCTCTTTGTTGGAAATATTATCCAGTTTGTATAGGTAATCACATGATTTTGAGTGCAATTTGGAATAAATACGCACGAGTAAATTTTTTCAAAGACTAACAAAATTGCATGAGCCCATAGGGCGAGTGCAATTTGTGGTCTTTGAAAAAATTTTCAAGTGCCTAATTATTCCAAATTGCACGAGAAAATCATGTGATTATCTAGTAATAATATACATGAAAAAATACGAGCTAGTTTCTCATAACTACGAAGAAGAGAAGCACGCGCAACACGTGCAAAAATAATTTATTCAAACCTTGCAAGTGACATTGACCTTGACATTGACCAGTCATTCTGAACAATCAGAATGTCTGGTTTGTTTCTTTCTTTGCACTGAATTAACCCTCTTCTGCACTGAATTAACTCTCTTCTGCACTGAATTAACTGAAAACTGCATTCATCTTAACCAATCAGAACTGAGAAATGTTTTCATGTATATCATTAGTCTCCAAATAGATTTGTGTATTTTTTTTTATTTTAATGTTTGTTTATTTATTTACATGTTGGCTCAGATCTTTATTCAATCGTTTAGCAGGACGGGACATGAATTGATGTGGTATTTTGCAACTCCATGTGATTTTGGATATTTGTACAAAGATGAACCCTTCATAGTCTGTTACATCATTGCCACTTAGTTCACTTTGTTTTTTATGGTTTGTGACAAGTTATTATTTCCTTTTAGTGTTAGTGGAGCACAAAGAAGCTCTGTGTTGCTTTCATTTGGGGAGAGTGATGGGAGGCCAGATGCAGCTGTGGTGCCCCACCCCTGCCAGGATGTTGCACAACCTTATTGTGTCATCACCAATATACAGAAGTTAAAATACATCAAAATACAGAGTTAAATGATATAGAGACAGGCAGCGACTCTGATTTTGTTTATGTATCTGAGCATGTACCTGTGTCTGTATCAGTACCTGTATCTCAGCTGCCACCAAAACGTATCATCCAAGTGCACAGGCTAAATATTTAGAAGGATTTGATTGACTTATTCCGAGATCCATTAATTAAGAGTCAGGACATAGAGATAATTGTTATTGATGGTAGGGGAGTTGAAGAAGTGGGCAGAGGTGTTGGGTTGCTTAGAGATGTTTTCTCTCTTTTTTGGAAAGAAACATATGATTCCCTTTTTGTTGGAGAAAATGAGCGCGTACCATTTGTAAGACATGACTATCAAAGGGATGAATGGGTTGCTGTTGGTAGAATTTTGGTGAAAGGATATTTAACCTGTCAATACCTACCAGTCCTTCTGTCTCAAACGTTCCTTGCTTGTCTTTTTTGAGGGGAATCTGCAGTAACTAGTGCTATGCTGACTCAATCCTTTAGAAATTACATTTCAGTAGATGATAAATGTTTAATTGACAAGTGCCTTGCTGGTGACATGAAGTGGGATGATGAAGACAAAATGTCCCAGCTTTTAGAAGTTTTTGGTAACTATGACTGTCGAATTATGGTAAATTCCGAGAATGTTAGTCAAGTTATTGAAGAAATAGCCCATAAGGAGCTGCTGCAGAAGCCACAGTATATTACAGACTGCTGGAAGGATACAGTTTCTACACTTCTTCGTAGTTTTCCTGATTTTGCAGCAATTTCCAAAAGGTATGAATTGTTAATACCATCCACAAGCAAAATCCTTAGTTGCCTAGAGGCAAACCCTGAGAGTGATGGGGAAAGGGAAAGCCTTAAGTTTCTCAAACGGTATATTAAGGGCCTTGACACGCCTCAGAAATTATCAAAGTTTGTAAGGTTCATCAGTGGGTCTGAGTTAATGCTTTTTGATGCAATCCAAATAAATTTTACCAACTTATCTGGTTTGGGTCGCCGACCAATTGCCCACACTTGTAATGCTGTATTGGAGCTATCCTCAACTTATCAGTCATTTCCTGAACTTAGAGAGGAGTTCAATGCAATACTTGCATCAGATTATTGGGAAATGGATATTGTGTAATATGCCTTGTGACTTAAAGAAGACCATTGTGATGGCAAATGCAAGCTGATTTTAAACAGACTGATAATATCATTTTTGTAGTGAAATTGTGTTTTCTGCCTTGGATAGGTATTTACAGTTTTAAAACATTTAACAACAGTGCACAAATTATTTTCTGGTAAATCATACTGGGAAATCATTAGCTAATGGCTGATTGTAGTATCAAGCTTGTTATCTGTTCAAGTTGACATTTTCAAGTGGGCGCAGCTGTTTAGAACTATTTTGTTGAGATTCTTATGTATTTTTTTCCTTACTGTTGTAAAGGTTAAGTTGCATTAATTTTGTTGTACTATTCTGATCGATACAATTTAAAGGCAAATAATAAACTTCACACTGTTTGCGTTTTCAATCTGTCACAGTGGTACCTGTTTGATAGATGTTAATTGATCTTAATTCTAGGCCCTATTTTCACTCTCTAAC